TATAATAAAATAAAAATAAGCATAAATAAATAAAGTTTATTAAAAATAATGATTTTTAAATTAAATAATTAATTTACTTGATCTGGAAAACAATAATTACTTAAATTATTAAACATTGATGGATAATAAAATGCCATTATATCTAAAATATAATCTGCTAATTTATTGATATCATATAGTATTTCGTCAATGTAACTATTAAATTAAATATATATTAAAATTAATAATATCAAAGTAATAATAATAAACTAGGAAACTGGTAAACCAGTGCACAGTCTAAAGTGAAATTTTTATGTATCATGTATAAAAAAAAAAATTAAATAAAATTATAATTAATAAAATTTTCATATTCTTTTTATATTTTTTATAAAATTAAGTAAAAATATAAGCAATAATAATTGTATTAATAATTGTTAATCGTAAAATATAATAAAATTGAATACATGCGTATGTAAATAGAACAATATTAGCTTATATCATTTATTAACAGTAAATAAAAGTTTAACTAAATCCATTTTTATACATGAATTATTCACTCACAATTTTATTCTAAATAAAGTAATTTGTCACATTGATCATGTTGTGCGATGTTTGATTAACAAAAGTAAATTACAAGCCACTATAGAATTTCTCTTTAGTATACAAAATGGAAAATAAATTCATTAGTCAAGACACTCTTCGAAAGCGTAAAGCTAGAGAAAATAAAACATCTAGCTAACGTGAAATACGCCTTGTAAAGCAATGTGAATACGAGCAGAGAAAAAAAGCAAGTGAAGATGTTGAAGAATAAGAGGCATATGTATCACGTGACAAAGAAAGAAAACGCGTAAAGTTAGAAGTGGAAATAAATGAATAACGTGAAAAATGACTTGGTTCCTATTGTGAACGAAGAACTTATCTGAAAAATATTAAAGATATAATGAATCAAAACTTGAATTCATAACTACCACTGCAGCAAGATTTTCAAAATAGTGACGCAGATGGTGCAGAAATATGTGCCTAAGGCCAACGATCACTACTAAAGCAAAATTTTCAAGATAATGACAGAGATTTACATGCTGAGCCAAATGCATTTAGTGAATCTGAACAAAAACTTTTAAAGAAATTTCGTGATAAAGTTAATAAATTTAAACATACTTATTGCCTTACGTGTAATAAAAATTTTTCATTCTTAGTAATTGTAAAGAGGAATATCAACGTTATTATAACGAGAAAGCCACTACAAAAAGATTCTCAGTAGAGAATAACATGAACCCAGGTGATAGTAATCCGATTCATTGATACATTATCTGGATATCTGTATATCTATACAAATATCTGGATAGTAGTTTCAGGTGACGGATATCCATTGACGGATATGCAGATATCTATGGATATCTGTGCGGATATCTGTCATGTGATCTCATGTCATATGGTGTCATATGATCTTCATGTTATAAAAACGCGTAATACAAATTATTAGATGATAATTGAATGTGACTTTTTTTTATAATTAAAAATGTCTAGCAATAACTTTGAAGAAGAAATGCTACAATCAAAAGATCCTGAAGAAGCTCTAAGCCCCAAAGCAAATGGCTCAAAAAGACCAAGGCAAAGGACACAAAAGCCATTAAAATGGCAAAGACTAACTCCACATGTAGATTTAAATAAAATAACTGACCAGCTAGTGTTAATTCCAAACGTAAAACCACTGGGAAAAAGTTAGATATGGGGATATTTTGATCAGTATAAGCCAGTTGGATAATATAAAAGAGTAGTAAGATGTTTAGTTCAAGTTCAAAGAAAGAATAGTGCAGAACCATGTGGCCATTTTTTGGATTCTGATAATTCCACTGGCAATTTTATTGTTCATCTTGCTACACATCGAATTACTGAAAAAATCATGAGAGAAAAATGAACGAAATACGAAATAATAATCAGGTGTCAACCCCGTATAGATGAAATAATATGAAATAATCCAAATATTAAAAGTAATCGAGACCAAAAATTTGTTGGAATCTTGATTAAGGATAATCAACCAATCAATATATGTAATGATGAAGGATTTATTGAATTTATTCATAAATTCAATCTAAATTATCAACCTCCAAGCAATAAAACAGTTCAACGATTATTAGCCGAAGCATATAATCAAATCAAAATTGTTTTAACAAAAATATTTAATGAAAATATTCTTTCTTGCTCTATAACAACAGATCTTTAGACAGCTCGAAGTAGATTTAGTTATATTGGTATTACGTGCTCTTTTATTGATAATAATTTTAGATTTTACGAAGTGATCTTATCAGTTCAATATGTGCCTTATCCCCATTCTGGTAATAATATTTGTAGAGTTTTATGTGAAATTATTTCGTATTTCGTTCATTTTTCTCTCATGATTTTTTCAGTAATTCGATGTGTAGCAAGATGAACAATAAAATTGCCAGTGGAATTATCAGAATCCAAAAAATGGCCACATGGTTCTGCACTATTCTTTCTTTGAACTTGAACTAAACATCTTACTACTCTTTTATATTATCCAACTGGCTTATACTGATCAAAATATCCCCATATCTAACTTTTTCCCAGTGGTTTTACGTTTGGAATTAACACTAGCTGGTCAGTTATTTTATTTAAATCTACATGTGGAGTTAGTCTTTGCCATTTTAATGGCTTTTGTGTCCTTTGCCTTGGTCTTTTTGAGCCATTTGCTTTGGGGCTTAGAGCTTCTTCAGGATCTTTTGATTGTAGCATTTCTTCTTCAAAGTTATTGCTAGACATTTTTAATTATAAAAAAAAGTCACATTCAATTATCATCTAATAATTTGTATTACGCGTTTTTATAACATGAAGATCATATGACACCATATGACATGAGATCACATGACAGATATCCGCACAGATATCCATAGATATCTGCATATCCGTCAATGGATATCCGTCACCTGAAACTACTATCCAGATATTTGTATAGATATACAGATATCCAGATAATGTATCAATGAATCGGATTACTATCACCTGGGTTCATGTTATTCTCTACTGAGAATCTTTTTGTAGTGGCTTTCTCGTTATAATAACGTTGATATTCCTCTTTACAATTACTAAGAATGAAAAATTTTTATTACACGTAAGGCAATAAGTATGTTTAAATTTATTAACTTTATCACGAAATTTCTTTAAAAGTTTTTGTTCAGATTCACTAAATGCATTTGGCTCAGCATGTAAATCTCTGTCATTATCTTGAAAATTTTGCTTTAGTAGTGATCGTTGGCCTTAGGCACATATTTCTGCACCATCTGCGTCACTATTTTGAAAATCTTGCTGCAGTGGTAGTTATGAATTCAAGTTTTGATTCATTATATCTTTAATATTTTTCAGATAAGTTCTTCGTTCACAATAGGAACCAAGTCATTTTTCACGTTATTCATTTATTTCCACTTCTAACTTTACGCGTTTTCTTTCTTTGTCACGTGATACATATGCCTCTTATTCTTCAACATCTTCACTTGCTTTTTTTCTCTGCTCGTATTCACATTGCTTTACAAGGCGTATTTCACGTTAGCTAGATGTTTTATTTTCTCTAGCTTTACGCTTTCGAAGAGTGTCTTGACTAATGAATTTATTTTCCATTTTGTATACTAAAGAGAAATTCTATAGTGGCTTGTAATTTACTTTTGTTAATCAAACATCGCACAACATGATCAATGTGACAAATTACTTTATTTAGAATAAAATTGTGAGTGAATAATTCATGTATAAAAATGGATTTAGTTAAACTTTTATTTACTGTTAATAAATGATATAAGCTAATATTGTTCTATTTACATACGCATGTATTCAATTTTATTATATTTTACGATTAACAATTATTAATACAATTATTATTGCTTATATTTTTACTTAATTTTATAAAAAATATAAAAAGAATATGAAAATTTTATTAATTATAATTTTATTTAATTTTTTTTTTTATACATGATACATAAAAATTTCACTTTAGACTGTGCACTGGTTTACCAGTTTCCTAGTTTATTATTATTACTTTGATATTATTAATTTTAATATATATTTAATTTAATAGTTACATTGACGAAATACTATATGATATCAATAAATTAGCAGATTATATTTTAGATATAATGGCATTTTATTATCCATCAATGTTTAATAATTTAAGTAATTATTGTTTTCCAGATCAAGTAAATTAATTATTTAATTTAAAAATCATTATTTTTAATAAACTTTATTTATTTATGCTTATTTTTATTTTATTATA